AGCTAAACTCAAACTCTGTAAGTACTAAGGATGACCCTGAACTTCTGAACCTCCGGCCACCATTGTCTGAATGTTGAGATTATAGATGTGTGCAATTCTGTTACTTTAAAATACATTATTTTTGAGATAGGGTAGCTCAGGCTGGCTTTGAACTCAAGGATCTGGCTGCCTCTGCCTCCCGAGTGCTGAGATTAAAGGTGTGTACAACCATATAATTAAAAAAAAAAAAGTCATGGATAGGTGTTAGATGTTTTTTCATCTAGATGATTTTCTCCTGTTGTGAACTACACTGGCTCTCAGACCGAATCAACCTGTTTTTCAATGAACTGGTTAATCTGATACATTATTTTTATGCATTGCAAGATTTGATTGTTTTTGTAGGGCGATTTCTTTCTTGTGGTGCCATAGTTCAAATTTAAGGTCTCAAGTATGCACTTAATCACTGAGATATACCCCTCGCTTCCTTATTTTTCAGTTAAAAACCCACATTTATTCTTATGTATATGGGTGATTTGCTTGCATGTATGTCTGTGTACCACTTGCATGACTGCTTGTAGAGGCCAGAAGTGGGTGTCAGACCCCCTGGAAATTGAATTACATACAGACAGTTCAGGGCTGCTATGTGGGTGTTGGGAATCAAACCCATGTCCTTGGAAAAGCAACCAGTGCTCTTAACCACCGAGCCATCTCTCCAGCCTTACTCAGTTTTTGATTAAGTCTGTAGCCAATACAATACATTAAGACATGGCTGACCTTGAACTCACAGCATTCACCGCCTCAGCTCTCAGTTGGCATTCTAAGACACTGGCCCTCACAACTGGGTACAGTAGCACATGCCTACCACCCCAGAATTTGGGAAGCTGGGGCAGGAGAACCACAAATGAGGACTAGACTGAGCTACAGGTGATCCTTTGAATTTTACATCTACATTCATGGCAGAAGTCGGTCCCTAGTATTCCTTGGAATGTTCTTGAGATTTTGGTGGATGGGTGCTACTTCAAAATGAATTGATATCTACTCCTTTGTTCTGTTCATAAAATTTACCCTACTGGTGATTTTTAAGATGTGTAGTGTGTGGTAGCTGGTTGTGTGTACACCTGCACTTGCCCTTGTGAACGCGTGTAGTCTGACACTGGGTGTTTGCTCTCTCCTTTTAAAAATGTGTTATGTTTGTGTGGGTACATATGTCATAATCCATGTTTGAAGCTCACATGACAAATCTGTGTTCTTTTCTTCTATCTTTACATGGATTCTGGGGATCAAACTAGGGCCATTTCACCAGCTCCAGCTTACTTTTTAAGATTCTGTCACTGAACCTGGAGTTCAGTATTTTGGCTAAACTAGAGAAGCAGGAAGCCCCCAGAATCCACCTGTCTCTGACTCCCTAGTGCTGGAGTTATACATGCACACTGTCCAGGGCTTTCATGTGTGTCTAGGTTTGGGCCACATTTGTGTAGTGTTTTGGCTGAGTACATGGTACTGGATGGTATTTAAAAAAAAAAAAAAAAAGGGCTGGGCAAGCCAGTTAATGTTCTCCCACGGCTTCTGCTTCAGTTCCTGACTCCAGGTTCCTTACCTTGATGAGAGACTATGATCTGTAAGGGGAAATAAAGCCCTTTCTCCCCAAGTTGCTTTTGGTCACAAAACAGAAACAAATACTAACAGAAACAAAATAGTTTTGTTTTAATAGAAACAAAACTAAGACAGAGCAAGCACTTGACCTACTGAGGCATCTCCCAGCCCCCAGTGCAAACCTCATCCCATACCTAAAATCATATATTGAAAAATTCTCATCAGTCTGTTAGAGGTTAAGTTCACTGATATTTCCAAAGTAGATTTGTTTGACCCCCACCCCCCCCTTAACTGGCTTTTGCTTTTATTCTTATAGTTTGCCGGTCTCTGTATTAACATGAAGTCAGTGATTTTCATTTTTTGTTTTCAAGACAAGAGTCTCTTTGTGCAGTCTTGGCTGGCCTGGAACTCACTCTGTAGGCCAGGCTGGCCTTGAACTTAGATCCACCTGTCTCTGTCCCTCCCCCCCATCAGTGCTGGGATTAAAGGCGTGCGCCACCACTGCCCAGCTGAAGTCAGTGATTTTTCTTTCTTTCTTTCTTTTTTTTTTAAAAAGATTTATTTATTTAGAAGAGGGCATCAGGTCTCATTACAGATGGTTGTGAGCCACCATATGGGTGTTGGGAATTGAACTCAGGACCTCCGAAAGAGCAGCCAGTGTTCTTAACCTCTGAGCCATCTCTCCAGCCCAGATTAATTTATCACATATACAGTGTTCTGCCTGTATGTATGTCTACAAACCAGAAGAGAGCACCAGATTTCACTACAGATGGTTATGAGCCACCATGTGGTTGCTGGGAATTGAACTCAGGACCTCTGGAAGAACAGCCAGTGCTCTTAACCTCCGAGCCATCTCTCCAGCCCCGAAGTCAGTGATTTTCAGATTTTCACCTGTGACGTGTGAACTGAGGTTATATATTAATTTCAGTACATTATCTGTCTGTCTGCATGTGTGGGCAGTACAGACCAGTGCTTTAGTTGAGGTCAAAGCATTACTTGCTGGAGTCAGTTCTCTCCCATTATGAGTCCTAGGGACTGAATCCATTAGGCTTGGTGACAAGCTTCCTCCAGTGAGCTTTTCACTTGCCCATTATGTTTCTGGAGTTTTTTGTTTTGTTTTCCAAGACAGGGTCTCATTATGTAGCTCTGACTGTTCTGGAACTATGTAAATTAGGCTGGTCTCAAACTCAGAGATCCCCCTGGCCTGCCTCCCAAATGCTAGGATTATCTGTACTAAATTAGCCTAAAACACATAGATGACCTGCCTCTGCCTCCTAAGTGCACTACCATGCCTGGCTCCATCTTTAGGTCCCCATGCCTGGCTTCACCTTCAGGTCCCCATGCCTGCAAGGCAAGCACTTTAACCACGAGCATCTCGCCTCCATGGGTTTCTGGTAACAGCTTTGTTCTTTTTCCTGGCTTTTGAGCAGCAGCAATAGCAAGTAGGGAAATTCTATATACACAGAAAGTCCTTCTCTGAAGCCTGCAGATACCTCTCCACCCTGTCCCACTAGAACAATACAGCTCTCTAAAACCCTTGAAAAAAGAGGTTGGAAATGGGTTGTGTTCCACTAAACCGGGCGTAAGATCAACTCTAAAGATGTCCCGTAGCCCCGAACTCCACAGATGACATTTAAAGCCCATAATAAATGTAAGCACTACGTAATAAATGTAAGTACTACCTCTTTACTTATAGAAATCTTTCCTACTCAGGCATGGAAGCCTGGAGTGAGGTTCTGCCTGTGCAAGAGACACTAGGGCTACCGTCCTAGACCTCCAAACAGCTTTCATGATCAGCTGTTACCTTCTGGCCACCTAAAAATATGACTACAAAGGAACCACCATTGTCCTTTCTTAGCAGGGCAGTCTGTGTGTGTAAGCAGACAGGGTAGAGGTAGGTCCAACAACAATCACCAGATTAAAGTGCTTAAATAGCTCTATGCTGACAGAATAAATCCCCCAATTAAAAGAAAAAAAAATTTAAAAAAACAGAGCATGTTTTATTTTAATCCTGTTGAGGGAGAGGGATGGAAAACACATAACAAGGGGAGGGGTGTCTATATAATACATACAACATCAGGACCAACCACAGGGAATGAGACCCATTACACCCCTCCCCATCCAACTCCTATGCAGGTTCCAAGGCCAGCTGAGGACAGATGGGACGTGAATTAAGACACAATTGGCACAGTAACATGGCCAATGCACCAAAAGATGGAGAGAATGTCCCAGGGAGCAAGGCTCCAGGCCTCAGCTGCTCCCCCCAGTGGAGAGGAATGCAAAACTTTGGCTCAGCAGGAAGGCAGATTTCAAAAATCAGGGTACCCTAGTTAAAACTTTTCAGATCACAAACTGGAGTGAGTCAAAACATCTATTAAGTTGATGTTTCTGCTTTCTCTAAAGTGTCTTTCCTCTTCAGGCCTGAGGCCAGGTTCTCCTCTTCAATTGGGAAGGCAGGGGAATAAGTGCTTATTCTATCCTTCCTAAGTCTAGGCAACTTAATTCCTACTTTCTTGGCTCTAGAGACAGAAGCCAACTAACAAGGCCGGCTCCGTTAGTGAAAGTCGGCTTGAAGAGCCCTTGGGTTGGCTCAACTGCCTCTACAAACGTTTCTTTGAGCATCCACCCCTTTATAGAACTTCCTCAAACTCGTTACAGACATCTTCAAGTGTGTGAGACATGGTTGAAGACTTCATCTCTCTCTCGAGTTGGATCACTATCCCATCTTTGGAGATGAGGAGGAGAGAGCAAGAGCAAGTGCTGACATGGGAACGGTCACAGAAAGAAAGGCAGTTGACAACTGATTATAGATTCAAGCCCATGGAGACGGAAGGGAACTCCGACACATTATCAATTAAGTAAACAACAGTTAGTGGCAACCCTGTAGTTTCCATAGCCTAAAGAAAATCTGTTAAAGGGAGAGAGGAGACTGAGCCAGCAGAGTCCAGCCATTCATCTTAAATCTGAAGAAACTCATTCAGCTAATACTGTTTCAAGTACAATCACGAGGAGAGAAGGCGCTGCTGAAACTCACACCGGGAGAATGAGATCACAGGGCCTACGCCCAGGATCAACCTACGCTTGCCTCCCTTGAGAAGACACCCGGAAATCATCTTTGAAGACCTGATCTGAAGACTGCCATCCCTCCTGCCCAGTACGATACTCTTCCAGGAAAGCTGGGTAAATTAAGACATCTGCTTTAAGTTTAAGTGGTTAAAAGAAAGGGAAAGAAACACTGAGTTTGGAAAGCTAGCAGCTAGAGCCAGAACCAAGGCTAAGGTCCTCATGGCAGCCAGGCTTGGAAGTGAAAGGACGGGAGCAGAGGGCAACAGGCTCTCGGAGAGCTCCTGCTTATCCTTGGCTTTCCTCTTCCCCTGCCTCCCATTCCACCCAACAGCCTGATGCAGCTATCTGTCTGCCAGAGGGGATGCAATGCCCAGACCAACTTTTTATTGAGCTTATGCAGCTAACAGACTTGTAAACAGTGCCAATTGACAAAGTTATGCTGAAAACTACAGCTTGTGTCCATTAAACACACCTCTCTCGAGATTAAAAACAAAAACCCAAAGTAAACAAATACTGAGAGAGAGAGAGAATTAAGAGACACATCTTGAGTCTTCCAGGAAGGCAAAGTAAAAAAAAGCCACAAGGCTTGGTCCCAGGCGCTCACCATGCCTAGAGCGTTACTCCTATGACCATGTCTCCTCCACCAGTGGCTAGGTAGAGGTTCAGGAGCAGGGTCATCTTGGGCATGCTGCAAATACAGCATTTGCTGGTGTTGACACCCTCCTGGGGCTGTGGCGGCAGACTGCTGTGTCAGGAGCCCAATTCCTGGGAGCAGCAGGGGGATCCAGGACCTCCAGTCAGCCCACACACCTCAGCGGGGTACCTTGCCCCTTTTCTCCAGTGCGGTTCAGCATTGAGGTTGTCTATTCCCAGTCGGCAATAAAACCTGAGCTGTTTTCCTCACAGGTTCCACCCCTGCTCCCCAACAGGGAGCAGTGGGAGGGAAAGGGAGGATCACTGAGGAGGCAGGGGGATTCCCCGGGGATCGGTGACCTGGCCCTCTTGCAGGTTCTTCACCAGCTGTGCAAGCCAGCGTTTCGTGGTGGTGTCATCTTTTAGCACCTGGGCAAAGGTTGTGTCCTTCAGCTGGTCAGGGAGGCATTGTCTGAGTGCTTCACGTGCCCTACATCAGAAACAAACAAACCAACCAGGGAGACAACAAATAAACCCACATTTTGGGGCTTAGAAGAGCCCCTTTCTTAGATATAAATACACCACTCCCTAGGTAGGAATCCATGCTTTGTCAAGTTAATCAAGAATCTACTAAAATTCCTTAAAGCAGGTGTTATGCATAGGTTCAGAAACACCTAGAATGTGTAGTCTACAAATATTTCCAGCATATTCCAATGGAGAATTTCATGCAAAAGGAAAACAGAATAAAATGGTGTTATAGTTTACTTCAGTCCAAATTTTCTTCTGATTTATTATAATAAATACTATCAAAATGCCATTAGACATAGCTTATGGTAAATGAAATTATTTTAAAATCTTTACACTGAAAGCAGACATGGCCTCATTTGTATGATAAATCAGATTTTAATTCTATACTAACATCAGTTATATCTGATGTTATATCTTTAAGAGAAATGCTTCAGATTTCTATTTGAAAACCTTAGAAAGAGATAAATAATAAAAACTATGGTAGCATTAATATCTAGGAGCCTGAAAAAGGCAAATGCCAACTACACAGAAGGCTGTTCTGAACAGTTATAGTTCTTATACTCACACAGGTAGAATTTCTAATAAGTATATTGCAAACTTGGAGGAAAACAGGAATCACCAAAAAAAAAAAAAAGACAAAATGATCAAAGACTAGCTAGTGCTTGACTAACCCCAGTGGCTGGAGACTGAGTTCACATTAATCAAGCTCCTGATCCCTAGGAACTCAAAGTATTCCATTATGTGGCTTGGCAGAATCTGAGCATGTAGCTTTCAGCATAAATTATGGATTAACAGGACAAAAGGTCAAACATTTCTGAAGTGCATTATATCTACAAAGTGCATGATTTTGGCAGAGATCTTGAACACACCAAGAAAAAGTAATAAGCTCAATGCCTTACAGGAAGCAGAGAACTACAAGCCTAAGTAAAGAGCCTCTGGGCTACGGAACTTTCCAAGAGCTCTCTGAAAGTTACTTATCTTTCTGATTATTTGGAGCAGTTATAGAAAGCCCAAACCACACGATATGGCCTACCTTGAAATTGTCTGGGCTTTCTGGAATTTCAGGGTAGGACAGAATTACAAAGGAAAGATCTAACTAGTGGGTATTTAAAAGTTAGAACTTTAGATTTTAATAGGAACTTAGGTTTGTCTTAGATGAACTAGAGTTATATCCTTTCCAATCCTCAAGACACAGGACCCGAGTCATGAAAATCCACTTATGAGACTATTTTCCTAAATTCCTGAGTCCTGTAAATCTTTACCTGGGATTATCTGAGAGTCGAAGGTAACATCTTACTACATGCTTCAGTAGACGGGCAGATGGTTCTTTGGATAGCTGCAGGACCATTTTACCCTGTTTTACCCAAAACAAGATGGGGAGAAAACACAAAATAATTTTTTTTAAAGATTTATTTATTTATTTATTAATTAATTAATTATACAGCATGTATGACTGCAGGCCAGAAGAGGGCACCAGATCTCATTACAGATGGTTGTGAGCCACCATGTGGTTGCTGGGAATTGAACTCAGGACCTCTGGAAGAGCAGTCAGTGCTCTTAACCTCTGAGCCATCTCTCCAGCCCACACAAAATAATTCTAATTGACACCAAAGATCAGATCATATAAGACCCATTATAGAAGTTTCCAATATTTTTATTTTTTTTCCTTTTTGAGACAGGGTCTATGTGGCCTTGGCTAACCTAGCACTCACTATATAGACGAGGATGGACTCAGACTCACAGAGGTCCGCTTACCTCTGCCTCTGGAGTTCTGGGATTAAAGGTACTCACTCACTATTATGCCAGCTAGTATTTTTGAGACAGGGCATTACTTCTTCACCTGGCTGGTGTGAAACTCATGCTGGCCTCAAGCCTGCAGTGATCCTCTTGCCTCTTTCTGCCTTATAAATCCTGGGATGACACATGTACCACCATGGCCACAACCATTATTTCTAGTTAGAAGGCTAAGTTTTCAGCCAGTTACAAAGAGACTACGTTATGTGATCAGAAGTAAGTTGCAGAGACAGTAAAGAACTTACCAAGATCATGGCAACATGGGAAAAACGCTCATATGTCTGACAAATATAGGCCAAACCAGTGTCATCCAAGAGGATCTTCTGGAGGATAAATGTGGCAACCTGGAGTAAAAAGAACAAATACTATCGTACTGAACAATTACTGTATGTCAGGATTTTTTTCTAAAGGCTATTTAAAGGCCTTATTTTTCTTATTGAACTCATTAAGTATATACAATTATTCTCATTTTATGTAAAAGGGAAAGCCCTAGATAATTATCAGAAGGATTGCATAAAATTTGAGGACAGCCTGGGGTACTTAGTGAGTACCACAAACCAGCTTGAAACGAGTTTAAAACAAAAAACCCACAAAAACCAATGATTCCTCCCTAAACCTCCTAATTTAAACAAGATACTCATTTTGGGGAAAAGGTTTGACACAAGGTCTTACTCTGTAGTCATGGCTACCTAGCTTCAAACTCCTAGCAATGCCCTTGCCTTAGGCAAGAGCACAATGTTTGCTTGCAGATAATTAGGATGATGACTATCTTTCTTTGGTGCCATTAGAAGTATTATTGTTTCACTGAGGTATATCACTATGATGGGCCAAATAATATGCCTCAAAGGTAGCCAAGTCTTAATTGTCACACCCCGAGAGTGTTGTCTCGTATGTAAAAAATGGTCTTTGCAGATATAATTAGGGATCTGTTTGTTTGTTTTCAAGACAGGGTTTCTCTGAGTAGTTTTGGCACCTGTCCTGGATCTTGCTCTGTAGACCAGACTGGCCTTGAACTCACAGAGATCCACCTGGCTCTGCATCCCCAGTGCTGGGATTAAAGGCATGCGCCATGGCCACCTGGCATAATTAGGGATCTTGAGCTAGAGAGATCACCCACACAGGTCCTAAGAATCACTAGCATCATTCTAAGAGATAGAAAGGGATTTAACCCCAAAGGAGAAGGAATACAAGACAATGAGATGTGAACAAGTTCTACTGCTTGCTCTGTATAGAGAAGGGAACCATGTGAACACAAGGAATCCAATTCGAGAAGCAAGATTGGGGGGCGGGCATGTCAAGGGACTTCCCTCTACAACTTCTATAGGAATCACGGCTCTGCACTACATGGCTTGATTTCAGCTTATTGAAACTAATCTGTGGCTTCTAGAACTAAGAATAAATTTATGAATTAAGCCACCATTTAATTTTGCTAATTTGTCATGGCAGCAATAGGAAACTAACACAAATACACACAGCAAAGAGCAAATTCACTAACAGAGTGTCACTTGGTGAGTTTTTAGCCTGTATACCATATCTGCATACCACAACAGCTTAAAACACAGAACATTTCCAGCAACTCAGAATTTTAGCATTGCCTTCTATCGTTCCCAGGTAATAGCCGTCCTTTAGAGGTAGTCAGTAAACCACTACTCCAAGGCACCACCACTAGTTATAAAGCAGGCTTATGTCTAGTTTAGTGGATAATGCCTAGTTCCTGAATAGTTACATTATATATTTACCTAGCAGTATTTAAAACAACCAACCAACCAACCAACCAACCAACCAGGGGCCAATGAGATGACCCTGTGGGTAAGGACACTTGCCACCAAGCCCAAGAGCCTGAGTTTAAAACCCAAAACCCACATGCTGGAAGGAGAGAAGCAATTCCCACAAGTTGTTCTCTAACCTTCACATGTGTGCTGTGGCATGCGCACATACACACAAATAAAAACATTAAACAACCAACCAATCAACTAACCCATATACTTGACTAAATTTTACCACCCTGGAAAAGCACTCAGTAATAGGTCTAGAATTAAGCCTGTACACCTGTAGGCATTAATTTTTTATTTATGTGTATATTTGCCTGTATATGTCCATGTATGGGTGCAAGTCTATGCAGAAGCCAAAGAGAGTGTCATATGTTCTCTATCATTCTTGGCTTATTCTTTCCAGGCAGGGTTTCTACCTGAACTGGGGGCTTGTGTTTTCCTCTAGGCTGAAAGCCAGCAACCCCTCGTGATTCTCTTATCTCTATTTGCTCAGAGCTGGGGTATAAGTGTGCACAAGATGTCCAGCTTGATATATGGGCACTGGAATTTGAACATGATTGTGCAGCAAGTGCTCTCAACTACTAAGCTATTTCTCCAGCCCTATATTTAAAAAAGATTTGTCTATTTTTATATGTCTTACATCATGTGCATGCAGTGCTCACAGAGAACAGAAGAGGGCATCAGACCCACTGGGACTGGAGTTAAAGGTGGTTGTGAGCTACTATGGGTAATGGGTATCGAACCTGAGTCCTCTGTAAAAATAGCCAGTGCTCTTAACCAGTGACCCATCTTTCCAGCCCCACCTCTGAATTTTAAAAATACTTCCCAGGTTATATCATTCATAATAGGCTTGACCAAGAACCTTTATTTCAGTGTGCACCTACTCCTCAGTTCTGACCTCCCAGGGCATCTGCACACATGCAGTACACACAGACAGATGTATGCAGGGACACAAAGACACAGACACACACACTATCTCAACTCTCATCCCTAAAAAACTCAGAAAATGATTATAAGAAAAAACAGACATAAAAGATAGATAATATAACTGAAGTTAGTGATACAAGAGGCTAGAACAATAAAAAGAAAAATATAAAAAGCAAGCCACCTACAAAAGGAAAGAGAGACTTTACTACAACATTCAATGTCAAAACACAAAAGGGTTTTGGCAACAGAATTTTCAGAAGGAAAAATGAGGTGAGAATTTTATACAGTCGCTGCTCTTGCTGAAGTTCAAGTACACACCCCTCACTTCATGACAGAAAACCAGAGGGATAGATTTGGCATGAAGATGGCTCAGTGGGCCAAATTTTGCTATATCAGCTTCTAAGGATCAAAGTCTGGCCGGGTGCTGGTGGCACATGCCTTTAATCCCAGCACTCAGGAGGCAGAGGCAGGCAACTCTCTGAGTTCAAGGCCAGCCTGGGCTACAGACTGAGTTCCAGGACAGCTAGGACTGTTACCCAGAGAAATCCTGTCTCAAAAAAAAAACAAAACAAAATGAATAAATAACAAACAAAGACCCAGGTTTGGATCCCCATCACCCAAGTAAAAGCTGATGTGACATCCTATCTGCAACCCTAGACAGGCTGGTAGCCCGTCTAGTAGAAAGAGTGAGCTCTATGTTTCTGTCTCAAAGACTGGTGGAGAAAGTAACGAAGACATCTGACAGTGATCATTAGCCTCCACAAGGGGATCTTCAGGCAGCACACATACAAAGGAATTAACTATCAATCAGATATTCTTCTGAAAGGTCTGGAGCTTTTATGTCTATCTTTTGAGACAGTGTCTTGTTATCAGCTCAGTCTGGTCTTGAACTTGTAATCTTTCTGCCTTAGCTTCCATGGTTTGTGGGTTTTTTTTTTTTTTGTTTTTTTTTTTAAGATTTATTTACTTATTATGTATACAGAAGAGGGCGCCAGATCTCATTACAGATGGTTGTGAACCACCACGTGGGTGCTGGGAATTGAACTCAGGACCTCTCAAAGAGCAGTCAGTGTTCTTAACCTCTGAGCCATCTCTCCAACCCGGTTTGTGGTTTTTAATGATGATCTAATAATTTTTATACGAAAGAGGAAAAAAGTAGGAACCCCAGAGACTGCCCAGCCAACAAAAGCAGTAGTGTGTGCACTGACTAGTTTTATGTCAACTCGACACAAGCTAGCGTCATCTGAGAGGAGGGAACCTCAATTGAAAAAGTGCTTCCATAACCTGTAGAACATTTTCTTAATTAGTGATTGACGTGGGAGGGCCCACAGCACCACATCCATCTTTTTTTCTTATGCTTACAATCATTTTCCTTTCTTTTCTGGGGTTGGAGTAGAGGGGATAAAGGAAGAAAGAGTGTGTGAATTTTTGTGCACTCTATGTGTACACGTGTCTTTTGAGGCCATAAGAGGATTGGTGGTCTTGGGTGCTTTAAGAGCACAAGTTGAACAAGCTACATGGAACAAGCCTGTAAGCAGCACCCCTCCATGACTTCTGCATCAGTGCTTGCTGGACTTTCCGCTCTAACTTCCCTGGATACTGGACTACGAGCTGTAAAATGAAATGAACCCTTTCACCCCCAAGCTGCTTTCTGTCATAGTATATCATCACAGCAATAAAAACTTTAACTAAGATACCATGTAAGCCTGATGACCTAAGCTTGACTCCCAGAACCCACGTAAAAAGCCAGATTTGGTGGCAAGCATCCGTAATCCCGGCACTCCTATAGTGAGATGGGAAACAGACAGGAGAACTGAACAGAAGCTGGTGGATCAGTTCACAGCAGTAGAAACAAGAGAGACCCTTGCCCAACAAGACAGAAAGTGAGAGCCAACTCCCCAAAGCTGTACTTTCTCTCCATGTGTGCCATGGCACAGTCACTCACACTCACACAAATAAACACATTTTAAGAGAAAAGACATTTTTGAAGGTAAAAAATCTGGGGAGGCAGAAAATGAGTCTTGAGTCACAAAGCAGCAGCTCCAGAGCCAAAACAATGTTGACTCTCAGTTAAAATCATATACCGTTTTAGAAAGTTCACTTCCAGATTCCATAATGCGCAAACACAAAGGGATGATTTCTGTTGTCAATAAAAAGTTGATTACTTCTTGTTCGTCTGTTTTAACCAAGGCCCCTAAAGAAAATATGGACAAACAAAATTATTTTAGAGGAACGAATTCTAATCACATTTACTCTACACTGTTCATCAAAACAAGTTAAAGAATTGAAGTAATTCGATGCACAGACTGTAGTTTCTGTGTCAGGCAATCAGTTCTATATCCATCGGAACAAAAAACAACAGTCAGCTGCAGAGAGTCACCTGTGTAATCCCAATATTGGAAAGGCTAAGGCAGGAAGATGTTGAGTTCAAGGCTAGCCTGGGCAACTTACTGAGACGTTGTGTCAAAATTTAAAAAATAAAATAAAGCGAGTGGGGAAAGGGCTCAGTGTTAAAAACACTAGCCTAGTACAAGCGCTGAGTCAGTTAACCAAGATCATTCAACTTAGTTAAAATCAAGTTATTCTTTACCCCCTCTGTAATTTGATGCTAAAATCAGATCTTGATTACTGATCCTCACAGTTGTTACCAGCAACACTGAGAATGGTGCTTGGTAAGTCTGCATACAGATGATGTAAAAGAAAAAAATGAATAAGCTGTAAGAAGGTGAACACACAACTTAAACCACTATTGCCTGTAAGAACTTCAGGCTTACAAAATGTCCCTAATCACTTACCTCGGCTGTTGGTGCAGTTCAGTAGGTAGAGTGCCTGCCTAACACGCACAAAAACCTGGGTTCAGTCCCCAGCAGTGTATTAAGAATGGTGACGTATGCCTATAATCCCAGCATTTGGAGGTGAAGGTTAGAGGATCAAAAATTAAAAAATTCAAGAGTATCCTCAGGTACATAGTGAGCCTGAAGCTAGCCTATGATACATGAGACCGTCTCTCTCTCTCTCTCTCTCTCTCTCTCTCTCTCTCTCTCTCTCTCTCTCTCTCTCTCTCTCACACACACACACACACACACACACACACACACAAAACAAAAACAAACAAAAACACAACTTACCAATAACTCCGAGGCTGGTGAGCCGAAGATATTCAAAGGGACGAGTTTTGCTGACTGTGTGCAAAAAGGGGTACAAAAAAAGTGGGATGTGTGCTGCAAGAAAAGCTGACCTGAAAGAAAAAACAACCACATTTAGAACCCAGAGTGGATTTCTTTTTTTTCTTTTTTTACTTATTTATTTGTGTAGACTAGAAGTATATGAATAGAGTAATACTCTCTATTCAGTCATTCCCTCAAGTCAATTTCAATGTCCCAAAGTTTAATTAACAGAACAGGGAAGCTGCCCTGAACTGAACTCAACACTTTGGAGCAGAGTAGATTTCTAAACATCAAATTTCTAAGCCTGAAACAATACTCGAGATTGCCAGAGTAAAGCAAGCTTTAGAAAAGAATTTTACTGGCTTTTAGTCTTGACCAGCGTTCTGAAATGTGTAATTTTGTACCCTAGGAGACATGTGTCTCCTAGGAGATATATTTGTCAGAAATAAGAAATGTTGAGGGGCCGGGCAGTGGTGGCACACGCCTTTAATTCAAGCACTTGGGAGGCAGAGGCAGAGGCAGGCGGATCTCTGTGAGTTCGAGGCCAGCCTGGTCTACAGAGTGAGTTCCAGGACAGGCACCAAAACTACAGAGAAACCCTGTCTCGAAAAACAAAAACAAAACAAAACAAAAAAAGAAATGTTGAGGGCTACTTAGCATACAGTCACAGAGGCCAGAGATGTCTACTGTTTAGAAGAGTACCCTCTTGCCCTCATCCACACATCAGACATACTCAGCTCTGGGTGTCAGTGTGTAACATCCATTCAGGCTAGGGTGATTAAAGCAACACAATACCTTTAGTCCCCACTAAATACCTTAAAAACTCATAAACTCAAAATATGATAGTTTAAAAGAGCAAGTCATAAGTGATAAAGCCAATGTGCTGTTGCACATCTAGATAGAATCCTAGCACTCAGGGGCCTGCCTAAATTAGGAGGGTCATGAGTTTGGGGCCGGCCTGGAGATACTGTCTCCAAAAGAGAAGAGAAGAGAAGAGAGAAAAGAAGAGGGGAAGGGAAGGGGAGGGGAGGGGAGGAGAGTAGAGTAGAAGAGAAAGAAGAGAAGAGAAGAGAAGAGAAGAGAAAGAGAAGAGAAAAAGAGAAAGAGAAGGAGAAGGAGAAAGAGAAAGAGAAAGAGAAAAGAGAAGAGAAGAGGCTACATTAGTGCTGAAGAGATTCTTCCAGGAGCCTGGAAAGATGGCTCTCGGTGGTGAAGAGTATTTGTTGGGACCTGAGTTCAGTTTCCAACACCCATTTCAGTTATTTTACAACTGCTTCTGGTAACTACAGCTGCAGGGGATCTGATGTTTTCTAGTCTCTGTAAGCACCCAAACAAGAGTGGTAGGCAGGTACCTGTTTGCCCTCTAGCGCGCACGCGCGCGCGCGCGCGCACACACACACACACACACACACACACACACACACACACACACACAGCATGCTAATGCCAGGTGTGGTGGTACATATCTTTAATTCCAGAACTTGAGAGGTAGAGACAGGTGGGATCTCTTTGAGTTCAAGGATAGCCAGGACTGTTATACAGAGAAACTGTTTCAAAAAAAGAAAAAAAGAGAGATCCTTTTAGATCAAACTTCACTGATGTAAGATTCTGATTTAAATGAACATAAAATAATTACTTAATTTTGGTTTTTTGGAACAGGGCCTCACTCTGTAGCAAGCCTCTTGTCTTAGCCTCCTGGGTGCTGGATTACAGCTATGAATCATCACGTCAAGCTTAAAGCTCTGGATTCATATTTGGGATTGAATCACTGTCAGAAAATACTTTTAAGGTAACTAAGCAAAATCGTTCCTCTTAGGTCACAGCAAGTCACTAAATTAGTTGATTTGCTTATGTTTCTTGCTATTTTGAAAACTGTTTCTATGATTCTGAAAGTATGGAATTGTATTCTACTTTATTTTAAAACATTACACTTCCTTCAAATCTGTAACCAGAAACTAAAAATAGTTATCAAACTTAACTGCATACAAATATGTATGTCAACTGTCAAAGAAACACAAGAGAACGGTGGGTATGGTGGTATACAACCACAATCCCAGCACTTGACAGAGACAGCAGGATTAAGAGTTGGAGGTCAGTCAGGCTGGAGAGATGGCTCAGCCGATAAAGGCTAGGCTCACAACCAAAAATGTAAGAGTTGGAGGTCAGTCTCAGCCAACAATAAAAGCAAAAACAACCAACTCTAACCACAAATACCCACAAGGAACTCCAAAACCAACTGATAAATTTTAAAAAAAGGAAGAGTTCTGAAGACTCATATCCACACACCACACTGCATCCCTTTCTCTGATCACTCAGCAAGGGTATCTAAGCTCCTATGAAACACTCATTCACTCCCATTAACTTACCAACACACACACATACAACACTCACCTGGTCTCCGGGTGTGAGGCCACACACTGCAGCAACGCTAAAGCATTGCAAACTCTGTTGGACTGGTGTGCTGTCAAAGTTGGAGGGTTGATAGATGGATAAATATTTACAATTTCCTGAAAAATTCCAAGAATCCCAGAGAGCAATTAATCACACAATTATTACCACAATGTCACAGCACAGTAAGTTTAAAAGACCACTTTAATTCCTGCAGAATTCATCACAAGCATACTGGACTAACTAGGCAAGACCTTTCCCCATGTAGTCATATGGGAACACTGCGATGAAAACAACTGGGTCTCCTACACTTCCTCCTAGATTTTACAGCTAATCTTTATTTTATTGTATTTTATGTGTGTTGGTGCTTTGTCTGCATGTATGTCTGTGCATCATGTATATGCAGTGCCTACAGAGACCAGAAAGAGGGTGTCAGATCCCCTAGAACTGGAGTTATAGCTGGCTGTAAGTCAAAATGCAGGTGCTGGGGACCAAATCCAGGCCCTCTGGGAGACCAGCCAGTGTTCTTTACCACTGAGCCATCTCTCCAGCCCTCGTAGCAGTCTTTCAATTGAGGGACCCTTACATAACTTTTAGAGTTGTATTCTACTCTATAATGATGAGACCTATGTGGACTACAATTCCGTGTACTTTAGCTGCAAATCCTTCCATAACACTTACAGATTCTTGGTTATAAATGTGTCAGGAATGGCATATGAATTTACTGAACAAATTTGAAAGATTATTAGTAATTTGGGGAGGAACTTTATAGGATGATTATTCTACTACTACCTTGGTACTTTAGGATTGTTCCCTTTTAATTTGTGTTTCACCTATCACCACTCTGGCCTGACTCAAATTTCAGTTATTTATTCTTGGTCTTACTCATTTGTTTGTGTGGTGTGTGTGCACATCATAGCACATGTGTGGAAGTCAGAAGACAACCAGCAGGATCCAGATCTTCCTTGTTCTGTGTTGGTCCCAGGGATCAAATCCAGGTTGTCAACAACCGATTGCCTTTATCCAATAAGTCACCTTACCAGGTGCAGCTGTTTATTTTTTAAAAACACAGATACCCACCTTTTTATTTCGATAGCTGCTACACCTTTACCTCAACATTTTCTTTCCTTAGACCATATCTATGGTCCTTATACTAAGTTCTTCCCTGCTATACAGATCTATCCTGTTGTACTTCTAAAAGCTATTTCTCAACACAGTTCTTAGATTCACCTGTTAAACACAGATTTTAAAGCCTACCTCTCAGACCAACTAAATTCAACCTCCAAAATAATACATTTTACAAATATCTACAACTTTTAAAAAACTGATTCTTGCCAGGCAGTGGTAGCACATGCCTTTAATTTAATCCTAGCACTCAGGAGGCAGAGGCAGGCAGAGCTCTGAGTTTGAGGCCAGTCTGGTCTACAGAGTGAGTCCCAGAACAGCCAGGGCTACAAAGAGAAACTCTGTCTCAACAAATAAACAAACAAAACCAAAACAGATATTTAAACAATCATTCTTCTAAAGTCTTCCAAACTCGTTTGAGCCAAGAAGAGAAACCCACGCAAGTGTGACAAACGTGAGTGAATTCCTACTTGTGGACACACACCCACCTGTAAAAGTGCTGCAATAGTACCAAATGAATGCCACAGCATGGGTGCCAGGTCAGGGACAGACTCTCGCTTCTTGCTTAGCTCTAGCAAAGCATTTTCCCTCGTCTCAGGACTGGACAGCTCATTGATCCACTGATAGATCTTCTCTCTGTCCACTTGGGCCAGTGCAGTAGGCACAGGCTTCAGGGGAGAAAAGAAAACATGTGTCAATTTATTACAATTAAACCAAGGCTCATCCTGCAGTAGTGCTTTAGAAAAATGTATTTTTTGAAACAGGAGCTTTACTAAACACATATATTTGATGCAAAGTAACTCAACCTGTTTGACAGTTAATGAGCCATGTTTAGGAATTTATGTTATAGGTGTATTTGGGCTGTACTGAAAATATATCAGTATGCTTACTGTTATGATGTTTTAAGGCAGAAAACTAAAAAACAGCTAAAAATAAGAGATGACTTAAATATATCTTGGTGCATCTTTATATTGGAATATTATGGAGCCCTTTATGAAAAGACATAGCTCGATATGAACCATATTACATAAAAAATAAAAATATGCAAAACACATTGCTGCAAAAAGAAAGGATACATGTTTAGGTCATTAGATTCCTTAAAAAAAAAAAAAACTAATGGTGGAAACAGGGTACATTTTAGCTTTAAATTCTTTGCTTAGTTCTCATAGAAAAAGTCCTATAACAATAACTAAAAGACTCATAAGAACTAGATCAGCAATATAGTATCTATCCTGGTTAATACTCCTTCCAGTCAGCTTTCTCCCAAATCTTGTCATACATACATACATCACCATAGTAAACTCCAGGACCTGCTCTTCCTCTTGCACTAAGAATATAAGCCTGCGACTTGTATTCAGCATCCCTGTACCTCAACCTGCCTGGAAGTTACCATATAGCATGTTATCACACGTGTGTACCAAGTTCCACCCTCATATGCCCCCTTCCCAGAGTTGATGTGGTGCCAGCAGATAAAGCGTCTGCCAGCGCCCTAGGCACCCGTAAGAGCAATGCCTCAAAAGACACGGGCACCTCCTCTAGCAACCCCTCCAGAGTCATCACTGAGGTTGCAGTTTCCATGGAACTCTGCTCCAGAACCTCTTCAAGTGGGTGGAAATGAGACCCTCCCAGGCACGAGCTTCAGTTCCGCAGCCATTCTAGCAACAGAAGGGCATGTGTGTTTAAGCAACACAGAAGGGAGGGAGCAAGATCCCTTGGAACTGGAGTTACAAATGGTTGTGAACTGCCATGCTCATGTTGGGAACTGAACCTGTGTCCCCGGAAGAACAGAAAATGCTCTTAACTGCTGAGCCATCTCCCTAGTCCCCACACAGTCTTATTGTTAGGCACTATTTTATACTATCTATTCTTATCATTTAAAAAAGTTTATCTTATTTTACTTATGTGTATGGAGGTGTCCAGAGGCCAGAAAGGGCATCCCTCAGAGCTGGGATTACAGGCAGTTTGAGCCACCCAATGTGAATGATGGGAATCAAATTTCAGTCCTCTGTAAGAACAGTACAAATTTGCAGTTGCTGAAGCATTTCTTTAGACTTCTCAACTTCACTTCATAGACAAGACAGCTAAGGCATAGAGAACTTACTTAAATTTAGATGGCAATAGGCTCATACCTATAATTTCAACACTCTGGAGGCAGAAACAGGTAGATAGATCTCTGTGAATTTGAGGTGTCTGGCCTATGCAGCAGGTTCCAGGCTACCTAGAATTATATAATGAGACTATCTCAAAACAAGTAGTCCGGCAACAGAGCTCAGACTCTTTACTCTTTTTTTTTTTTTTTTTGTTTTTCGAGACAGGGTTTTTCTGTGTAGCTTTGCGCCTTTCCTGGAACTCACTTGATAGCCCAGGCTGGCCTCGAACTCACAGAGATCCACCTGCTCTGCCTCCTGAGTGCTGGGATTAAAGGCGTGTGCCGCCGCCGCCGCCGCCGCCGCCGCCACCACCACCCGGTGAGCTCAGACTCTTTTTTTTTTTTTTTAAAGATTTATTTATTTATTTTGTATATAGCATGTATGACCAGAAGAGGGCAGATGGTTGTGAGCCACCATGTGGTTGCTGGAAATTGAACTCAGGACCTCTGGAAGAGCAGCCAGTGCTCTTAACCTCTTAGCCATCTCTCCAGCCTGAGCTCAGACTCTTAACTTCTTTGCTAATGTTGCTTCTTATCTGCCTGAAAGTCAGATCTGATCTAAAAACAATGTTCTTTCCTTTTTAGAGTTACAAGTGTATGCCACCAGCACACAACCTGAAGATGACTTTAAATAAAGCATTGATTTAGACATATAATTAATATGTAAAAGTTTCAAACAAACATTATTATGCTTAGTTCAACAGATCCCAAAGAAAACTTAGTATCAAGAATAATATCATTGATGTTAGGAGAAATTCTCTAGTTATGAAATTACATAGCACTTAATAAACATTTTTTTCCCCGAGACAGGGTTTCTCTGTGTAGTTTTGGAGTCTGTCCTGGAACTCACTCTGTAGATCAGGCTGGCCTTAAACTCACAGAGATCTGCCTGGCTCTGCTTCCCAAGTGCTGGGATTAAAGGCATGAGCCACCACCGGGCTTATAAGTTATTTTAAATAAACATTTATGTGTAAATTGTAAATGTCATTTTCCTCCTCTGGTGAACTGAAAACATGATGTTGAGTTTCTTCAAGAGAAAACAGCTTCATGTTTAAGGGCCAGCCCAGCTCACTGTCTTCCTGACATGACAGCGAGTGAAGGAAAGAATGGGGTTAGACTGAACAGATCACCTCTCAAACTGAGGTGGCTCAACATGGGGCTTTCATTTAACTCCCTGTTCAGGCCTTGAACTCACAGCAATCCTTCTGCCTTGTCCTCTTGTACGCTAGGATTATAGGCTGACCACACTTGACAACATGTACCTTTGAGTATTAACATAAAGAAATATGATTTAAAAAACTTTAAAAATCACACTGAAAGTAGTAACTGTCCTTATGAGGACTCCACTTTAAAAATTTTTGTTTGTAAGTTAGGGTTTCATTATACAGACCAGATTGGCCTGGAATTTGTGGTGATATTTCTTGATCTGTCTCCCAAGTCTTTGGATTACAGGTTTGTGTCAGCTTCAAAGTGACTTTAAAAAAATTCAAAGTAGGCCCAGTGAGGTGACTCAGCTGGTTAAGGGTGCTTGCCACCAAGCCTGAGACTGAGTTTCTTTCATCCCCAGGACTCAACATGGTAGGATAGAACTGACTTCTACAAGTCTCTGTCTCTCTGTCTCTCTATGTGCCTGCCTGTCTGTCTGTCTGTCTGTTTCTCTCACACACTAAACAAATAAACGAAGTGGACCAGTAAAGAGAAGCTAGATTCTTTGCCCTAAGTTTAAACAGGAGGTTTGGCAGCAGCGAACCAATTTTATTGGGTACATTCCTGCCAAAGAGTAGGGCACCTGGGAGTCAACCAGTTTAAATACAAAGACAATAAAATGGGCTGGGAAAATGTCAGTATGTGCCTACAGCTCATCATGAGGATCCGAGTTTGGATCCCCAGCATCCATACAAAAGCTAGCTAGATATGAAGACACAGCACCTTAGAACCCAGAACTCACAGGGGAAGGTTTGTCAGTCAGCTAGTCTAACTGAAATGGGAAGCTTCAGGCTCGGTGAGAGACCCTCTCTCAAAAAGAAACAAGGGGGCTGGAGAGATGGCTCAGCAGTTAAAAGCACTTGTTGCTCTTAAAGAGGACCTGGGTTCAAGAACCTACATGGTAACTCACAATCATTGTAATTCCAGTTACACGCAGTCAAAACATTCACACACATAAAATAAAATCTAAAAAAAGGAAAAGAAAAAGAGACACAAGGTGGTGTCAGGGAAAATGGCTCAGTCAGTACAGCACTTGTCTCCAAGACCCACATAAAAGCCCTACAAGCGTGGTTGCCTAAAATCCTAGCACTCAGGAAGCAGAGACAGAGAATCCCAGGGGGAAGCCAGTCTAAATGGAGTCACAAGGTTCAAGAGAGAGGCCAAAGTGTAGAGTGACCAAGAAAATATCTGATGTCAATTTCAGGCCTAGACAAACACCTGCATTTGTACCCACACACCCACACCTTGAACAGATAATACATAAAAGACAATAATTAAAATTGAAAAAGTGGAGAATCACAGAGAAAGTCATCTGACACTGAACTCTGGCCGCTGCACATGCATCAATAGGCAACTCATGTGCATATGAAAACACACACACACACACACACACACACACACACACACACACACAGAGTAATTCAAGTGTTCAGAGATGCTAAAATTGCCAGTAGAAATCAGTGACAACCTTATGTTAAAGGTGTATCTAATGCCTCTCCTAAAGTTTACTTTGGCTGTTTCATGACCAAATAGCAATTACAGAAGACTCAATGTCATACTTCCACTAATCTAAGTAGCCCCTGGGGTCTATAGAAAAGTAATATTAAGTTATTAAAACAGAGAGAAGTCACTTAGTATACAAACCCAGCCAATGACCAATTACTTAGTTTTTTCATTCACTTATTTAGTGTGTGTATATACCATGGTGCATGTGTGAAAGGGAGAGAACCACGTGTGGGAGTTATGCCTCTTTTCCAACCACATGGGTTCGGGAGACAAACTCAGGTAATCAGGCTTGGAGGTAAAGCATCTTTATCTTCGACCCACCAACCGATCTTACTAGCTGCAATTTTTCTCACATCATTAGCGTTCTACTTTTTACATTCTGTGTGTGTGTGTGTGTGTGTGTGTGTGTGTGTGTGTGTGTGTGTGTATGTGGTATATATATACACGTGTGTGGCAGAGGTGTGCACAGAGACCTCCTTAAGTCATTCTTGGCCATATTCCTTTGGGGCAGGGTCTTTTACTGAACCTGGTGCTAGGCTGGTAGTCAGCAACCCCTAGTGACCCTTCTGTCTCTGGGGGACCCAGAGTTCTGGGGTTGCAGACATGAAGTCATAGCTGGCTTTTTATGTGAGTGCTGGGGATTTGACCTCAGGGTCTCATTCTTGAGCAGCAAGTGCTCTTACCAGCTCAGCCATCCATCTCCCTTTATCCCCTTACATTTACTAATTTTGCAAATAACCCTTCACTGTTTCTGTCCACAATAAATAGAAAAAACAAATTTTGTTTTGAGAATAATGAAGACATAAGAATGTATTCCATAATGATAAGAGCACACTATATTATATTTCAACTACCTCAGTATCTTTTGTTATTGTCTCTCTAGTAAATAATAGCTGCATTCATTGTCCTTTAATAGTACGTCCTATCTCCCTAACTAAAGGGATGGTTTCCTTGCTACATATTAAAAAAGAGAAAGACACTATCTCACCCAGAGGAACAACTTCCAAAGTTGACTCTGGTCTCCACACATGCACACCCACAATATGAACTCATACATGTAAGATTTCATTATTAAGAAAAAACCAAGTGTCTCTTCAAAAGACTTAGGTTATTGTGGGTATTGCTACATGTACTCTTCCTTTCAATTTCTAGTAAATGGTTGTTTTTTGTTTTTTTTTGCACAGATCAAAATAACAAGCAGGTTGGATTATGGGAATAAGGGATTGTGAAGGAATTGGCTCAAAGTTTTATGCTTCAGTCTCGTCACTAACCAAACATCCTAAAGGATGAGTGGTACAAAACTTGTCCAAGCTGTCATTTGGGTCAAATAGCTTAACAAATATTCAAGTTTTTAAATTTATGCACAGCATTGTAAATTAAGAAATACATATTGAAAACTTTTTTTTTCTTTTTGGTTTTTCCAGGGAGGGTTTCTCTGCGTAGCCATGCCTGTCCTGAATTTGCTATGCAGACCAGGCTGGCCTCAAAACTTAGATTCGCCTGCTTCCCAAGTGCTGGGATCAAAGGCGTGTACTACCACCGCCCGGCTTGAAAGTGTTTTTTTGTTTGTTTTTTCCAGACAGGGTTCTCTGTGTAGCTTTGGAGCCTGTCCTGGAACTCGCTCTGTAGCCCAGGCTGGCCTTGAACTCAGAGA